AGTAGCCCAATCTCAGCTCACTGCAAACTCTGCCTCCCTGGGTTCAAGCATTTTTCCTGCCTCAGCCTCCCGGATAGTTGGGACTACAGGCACGCACCACCACGCCCAGCTAATTTTGTATTTTTAGTAGAGACGGGATTTCACCATGTTGGCCAGGCTGGTCTCAAACTCCTGACCTCAAGTGATCCGCCTGCCTCGGTCTCCTGAAGTGCTGGGATTACAGGTGTGTGCCACCATGCCCAGCCTTAAGTGATAGTTTTCAACTGGCTGGCGACAACCATGGCATTTTAGACTTGGAACTGATTTTAGCTGCAGCATCTCCCAAACTTTTCTGACGATAAGAATCACCAGGGAGGTTCTTCATAAAGATAAAAATTCCTGCTTCCCATCCCCGACCCACAGCATCAGAGTCGCCAGTAAAGGGGCCTGCAAAACTGTATTTTGAACAAGTACAGCAGGTGATTCTCATCACCAGGGTTTGGGCAGCTGTCTCAGAGCCTTGCTTTTCCAAACGTTAGCACTCATGAGAAACACCTGGAGCTCCTGAGCAACCACAGATTCTGATTCAGAAGGCCGGGGTGGGCTGAGAGCCTGCGTTGCTAAGAAGTCCCAGGTGACGTCGATGTTGCTGGCCTATGAACCAGCTTTGAAGGAGCAAAGCTAGAAAAAACACCTGTCTCATTTTGCAGGTGAGGGAACAGGTTCCAGGCAGGTAAGCCGTTAATTCAAGGTGACCCAGCTGGTTAGTGGCAGAACTGAGATTTGTCAGACTGGAGGGAGTCACTGTGACTCATGACTCCACGGGGCACCCGTATTCTGCCTCCAGCGAGGTTAGCAGTTCGAGCATGAGGTTAGAAAACAAATCATCAGCTTCTACTGGACATCTCTCTTTTTACCTGCTTTTCCCCCAGCTTGATTTTTCTCCCTTCCCATGATCCCGCCAGGATCTCTCTGTTTTTTTTTTTTCTCTTTTCCCAAGCTTCCGCATCTGCAGCAGAAAGGCCAGATCAGGGCATGACTACAGCCTGCTAGCGGGGGCAGCTGGAGGATTGAGGGAGAGAGCCTTACCCAAGTGAGACCCTGCGGGCCGCCATCTGTTGCTGCCAGCACAGCTCATTAGGCTGGCAGTGGGAGAGAAGAAGGGCCCCAGAGCTTCCACACGGCAGCCTCAGGACATTTTCTGGGAACTTACAGGGGAAAGAACTTCCGGACGTCTGTCTGTCAGGGGCGCCGGAGACTGTGGGTCGGAGCAGGGTGTGATGCTGGGTGCTGCCCCCTTGGTTCACTCCTCAGTGACGCTGAGAGCCAGGCCAGGTGCCTCCTGGGCAGGAGCCAGGCCTGCTGCTCCGATGACATTGGAGAACAATTTCGGAGTTTGGATTCATTCGCAGACGTCTTTATGTCCTTCCCTGCCGCGAGTGCTGCTTCCTGACTGCTCTTTTTCTTTTGTGCAGGTGACAGCAGCAGGCATCCCCTGTTCTGTGTTGAATACACCCCTTACTGCTCCGTCTTCGCTTTCTCCCCTGTCCTGCAGCCCAATACCAGTTACTGCTGCCTCCTCCTGCCACTGGTGCCACCTGCCTCCCCAGTGGCCCAGGAACCTCCCCACTGTCTCCCTCTAGTTACCTCCTTTCCCTCCCTCACAAGCCCCGCTTCCCCCTCCCCGGCCCCCATGCCCGAGTCCCCAGCAGCGCTCTGCTACTTCCCCATCTCCTGCCCCACTCCAGCTGAGACCCCTGTCCTGTGTCTGCAGGGCCCCCGAAGGCCCAGTAAGATTTACCTCGTGTGGTAAGTCACCCTTGCAAGGCAAACAGCACACAGTGGAGTCAGGGAGCAGGGACTTCGGGCTTCCAGAAGGCAGGTGGAGAGGAGTGGGTTCAGAGGCAATGCCAAGAACAATACCAGGCGGTGTGGTGTTCGGGGGAGCAGGAAGACGGGACAGCGTGGCCACTGCACTTGGGCTCCACCTTCTAGCGCCAAAGGAGCCAGCAACCAATAAAATCCCATCCTCTCCGGAGACTCATTTGATTTCTTACCTCCTATAGCTGGCACGCTGTGCAGTGCCACCCCCAGAAACCAAACAGGCTCTCCTGCGTGTGATCATACCGTTGGCTCTGGGAATGTGCACACGCCGAGGCCACCCCAAGCAGTGGCGCCGAGGCAGGCTGTTCAGAAGGCACACACACTGGAACCAAAACCCATTCGGAGCCACTTGGAGGACGGACGCAAGAAAGGGCTCAGCTGATGTTCACGTTCCCCTTCCTGCCTACTTATTAGGCATCAAACTCCCTCAAATCAAAAATTCCACCCCCAAGTTCCAAAATAAAACATATCTATGGTATGTAATTAACCTTTAATTAAGATCTCCTCTGGGTATATGAGACAACACACATTTCTCGTACACTCAGGCAAACAGAGGCGACCTATTATTTGTGACTGCACAGAAAGCTGCCTATTACCCCAAGGCAACATACTGGCTCCTGCGATTAAGCTGTAATTCTTCCCAGTATCCAAAGAAAGCACATTTTTTTCAAAGAGGTGTCTCTCCAATGGGATCTTGGCACCTCCTAGGCACCAGGGATCCCAGTCAAGGTGGTGTGGGGCGGGATGAGGGTTCGGGAACTGAATTTCCCCTTTATGTTTCCTTTTCGACTTTGTCAAGAGTTATCTGTATGTGGCAAGTGATGGGTGGAGCTAAGCATGAACAATCGAATGGGCTGGTTCTCAGTTGTGAGGGTCTGGTACAAATATGAGATTTCCACCCTTTTGCCCCCTTTCCTGGTCAAATTAAGAACAATGCAGTTAACAATCACAGTTTCCCAGCATTGTCAAGAGAATGGAGGCAGGTGCCTTTAATCTAAATAGCTGTTTGGTTTCTTTACAACTGGAGGCATCGCCTTGCTCAGATCCTGGAAGTATGGGCTATATGCTCTCCAAAGCAAACCATAATCTTCCCCAAATTCACTGATAGACAGGATACTAAGTTACCTGGCAATGAAACTCCTGAACACAAACCCCTTACTTTTCTGTAAGGCAAAGAGCTTGTCCTTCTACTTGGAAGTTACATTTCATCTTCCAGTATAAATAGGACTTGGTCTTCCTGCAGATTAATCTATGAATCCATGGCATGGTGAGAACCCAGCTGAGAAAGACCCCAAAGGTCTAAAATTTCATTCACTTTTCATGCGAGTGAAGTGATGGGAACTTGGTGTACAAATTGAGGGCTTGAAACTCTTTCTCTTTTGAGACAAGATCTTGCTCTTGCCCAGGCTGGAGTGCAGTGGTACAAATACAGCTCACTGCAGCCTCAACCTCCTGGGCTCAAGTGATCCTCTTGCCTCAGCCTCCCATGTAGCCAGGATCACAGGTATGTGCCAGCACACCCAGATAATTTTTACTTCCTTTTTTGTAGAAACAGGAGTCTCACTTTTTTTCTCAGGCTGGTCTCAAACTCCTGGGCTCAAGTGGTCTTCCTGCCTTGGCCTCTTAAAGTGTTGGGATTACAGACATGAGCCTCCATGCCTGGATGGATGAGTGTTAAAAACTTTTTTTTTTTTTTTTTTTTTGAGGTGGAGTCTCTCTCTGTCGCCCAGGCTGGAGTGCAATGGCACAATCTCAGCTCACTGCAACCTCTGCCTCCCGGGTTCAAGAGATTCTCCTGCCTCAGCCTCCCGAGTAGCTGGGATTATAGGCATGTACCACCATGCCCAGCTAATTTTTTGTATTTTTAGTAGACAGAGGGTTTCACCATGTTGGTCAGGGTGATCTTGAACTCTTGACCTTGTGATTCACTCACCTCAGCCTCCCAAAGCGCTGGGATTACAGGCATGAGCCACAGCACCTGGCCGGTAAGTGCTGAAAACTCTTAAACCCATGTACACACAAACTGTGCAGTCTGGGTTACCTCATCTGTGACTGTGCTTACAGTCAGAGAAGAGAAAATATTTTGCGAGAGAGTTTGTTTTCCACAGAACCAAACGTGTATCACAGGGAAGAAGTCAGCAGTGCCGCCAAATTAGATTATAATAATCTTTAAGGTCGTGAGGCAATGTCTTGCTCATCTTTGTGAACCCTCAAATTATAGCATAGCAAAGGCACACAGGTATTTGTTGAACAGATCATAATATAAAGAGTTGCTATTTGCCTTTTGGATTTTATAAAAGAAGGATTGAGGGAGAGAATCAACATAAACTACACAGGAATGAAGGCTATTGAATAAGTTATTCCTAACCTGTGAAGTCTGCATAACAATGAGTTTCCGGTCAAATTCAGTTGTCTCATGGAAATGACTTCAGATTTCCCATTATTATTCTCAGTACTAGTGGTAGTATTCTTTACGGTGGAATATGCAGCTACCATTATTACACTTAATGGATACCAGTTAGGCCATTTATTACATTTTTGCTAAACTTTGCAGTAACAAGATGGGCCATTTTACAGTTACAGAAATGAGGTTACAGTTGCCAAAGGTCAGAGGATCCTGCCTCCACTGACGGTGGCGATTTCTTCACTGCCAGGCAGTGAAACTGGTAAAACAATCTCCAGTTGTTCAGCTTTATTAGTTTGCTGAGAACTTGATTAGAGGACACATGGTAATGGTTTTGGCAATCATTTAAGAGATCTGATGCTTTGAAGAAAACAGTTTTTTTGAACAAGCAAACAAATTAAATAACCTTTTATCTTAAGCCATCTTGGGCATTTTGCACGACAACAAACACGAAAATGTGTTCTAGTTTTGAAGTTCCCCTGTAATTTGGGCTGAATGCATCTTCTCAAGCCCCATAAATCAAACTAATATTTGTCCTGCATGACAAGGCAATTAATATTTGTCCTGCATAACAGTATGAGGCAACACTTAGACTGGCTAAGAGACGATCCTCATTCTTAAGGAGCTTGCAGGCTAGTTGGAGAGAAAGGACATATTCATTAAGCAATTTTAGAATATTTAAACACTAAAGGCCATTTTTTTAAAACCCTGAAAATAAAGGTTTTTGCCAAAGCAGAGTCAGAGCAGATTTGGCGGAATAAACTGGAAACAGACCTCGAAGGACCTTCTGGCTGGTGCTGGCTGGGGAAGAAAGTTTCCATGGGCAGAAGCATTGCTCCCTGGAAAGGCATATGCAGTGGCAGGGCTCAGTGGCCTCTGGGCAGTGTGAAGTTCTGCTGCCAGGGGTGCGCAGGAAATTTGAATATTCTGCTGGGATTCCTTCTGGAAATCAAAGTAAAATTCTTTTTAAATTATTATCATTATTTTGAGACGGAGTCTCGCTCTGTTGCCCAGGCTGGAGTGCAGTGGTACGATCTCGGTTCACCACAACCTCCGCCTCTTAATCCTCAGGACCTTGGGGCCAGATTCTGACCTTCCAGATTTGGCCTGCCCCTTCCCTGGCCCTCCTTCTGTTTCTTCCTCTTCTCTCCACGAGGTGCAAAGCAGGAGGCAGGACTTCTGAGAGCTGAGGGGCTGTGGTCTCAGGTGATAAGGGAGAAGTCTCGGTGTTCAAGGAATGTAAACTTGGGTGGTGGGAAAAGGCTTCCCTCCTTCCCTCTGGGATGATCCCGTAATGTAAAGCACCTGATTCCTCCCTCCCTTACTTGCCTCCTCTCCTCCCCTTATTGATCGGTAAAATCATGTCTAATCACCAGCCTGCACCATCGAAAGAATATCTTCTCATTTTCTAGAGAACTTTCACTCTCTCCTCTCTGGTCACACCTACAACCTCTCTGGGCCACCAACTTGCTCTGACTCTAGCAGCAGCTTCCCTCTTCTAGTAAGTTCCCCGCAGGCATGATCCTCTCTGTCTTGGCCTACAGGACCCACTGCCATCCCCTCCTGGGGCCCGTCAGAAGTAAGTAGACCTCGTCATTGTATGAAATTTGGTTTCACGGGCTGCCAGAAAGAACTTCCTGAATCTGGAGGGAAACAATTCACACACAATCACAACTTACACTCCAGAACACGAATCCAGTTGCCTCATGGGCCACAAAAGGCCGTGCTCTCACACCCAAGTCAGGGGCCCTCCCTGGCTTTATCCCTGTGTTACCAGCTGGCTACATCTACTTGTGAGCTTTCTAAACTGTCTAAAGATGATGAGCCAGGCAAATGGTCTTGGGGAATTTTGGCCAGATATTCAGGATGTCAGTGCCTTGTAAACCCAAGAACTTGTAGAGATGCATGGAATATACTAGAACTTTTCCTACACATTCACATGCACTGACACTAAATACACGTGAAAAAGAAACTCAAAACTGTATCAATTAGCAACCCAATTCAACATGTGGATTCAAAAAAAATGTTCGTCCAGTCCATAATAGCACCCCAGCTACTGTCTTACGGTGAATATCGTCCCAATGCAGTGCAGGGTAGGGAGCAGGAAAGAAAAAGGCGTATGGTTCCCAGATGCTTGCAAACTTTCTATACAGGCATGTCTGCTAATAAACCTGACGATCGAAATATACAGGTATTATACAAAATATGTTGTGATTCAAACCTGGATGAGCACTTGGGAGGCAGAGCCATTGTATGTCCCAGCTGTAGAAGGCTCTTGACCGTGTTACGAGCCGGCGCATCCCAATACCTATGGATTGGAACCTAGAAGCTTAGCAAGGCTGGGCGCAGTGACTCACACCTGTAATCCCAACGCTTTGGGAGGCTGAGGCAGGTAGATCACTTGGGGTCAGGAGTTTGAGACCAGCCTGGCCAACATAGCGAAACCCTTGTCTCTACTAAAAATACAAAATTTAGCTGGGTGTGGTGGCAGGTGCCTGTAATCCCAGCTACTTGGGAGGCTGAGGCAGGAGAATTGCTTTCACCTGGGAGGCAGAAATTGCAGTGAGCCAAGATCATGCCACTGCACCCTAGCCTGGGCAACAAAGCAAGACTTTGTCTAAAAAAAAAAAAAAAAAAAAAAAAAAAAAAAGACTAAACTTCTTAGCAAAAGGAAAGATCCCTCCCTTCGGCCTCTGCATCCCAGGTATCATTGGTGCTCATGAAGGAGGTTCTTTTTTTTTTTTTTTTTGAGATGAAGTCTCACCCTGTCGCCCCAGCTGGAATGCATTGGCACATCTCAACTCACTGCAACCTCCACCTCCCAGGTTCAAGCGATTCTCCTACCTCAGCCTCCCAAGTAGCTGAGACCACAGATATATGCCACCATACCCAGCTAACTTTCGTATTTTTGTAGAGATGAGGTTTTGCCATGTTGGCCAGGCTGGTCTTGAACTCCTGACCTGAGGTGATGCTATGAAGGAGGAATTATTATTTCCATGTAGCAGGTAGGGAAACTGAGGCTTGGAGAGGTGAAGTGATTTTCCCAAGCTCACATGGTTACATGAAACCAGGTTTCAGATCCAGCTCTTCTGTGACCTCCCGAGTCCTTTCTCTAGACGTCCCTTCCACCTAGCCCTGCCCCCTGCTATTGCTGGGCCCTTTGAACATTCTTTATATGGAAGACATTTTTCTATAAACAAAATAATTATTGAAAAGATTTTGCATCTTTTGCAGACCAGGCACCAACGGCTTTATCAAGGAAGAAGAGGCCAAACCTGAGGAGATTTACAGTCAGCCCAGAATCATACAGCGCGAGAGCGTGTGGGGACAGGAGCAGACAGAAACCACAGCGGCCAGCAAAGGGGCTGGCTCCCGGGGGAGCAGGTAAGGACCCAAGGCTGTGGCACCTTGGTCCTCGGAGCAGAGGACTGGCTTTTGCTGTTACACAGTGAATTCTTCATGGGTTTTAGATACTTGTACTTTTAAGTGAATGGGGGCGTGTACCTTAAAATGAAACAGTTTTAAAAGCAAAGTGTGTGATTCTAGGTTTTTTTTTTCCTCCAAGAGAGGCTGGTGGGAAAAGGGGAAGGCAGGGTGGGGTGGGGGTGGGGTTATCTTTTTCTCTCCTGCAACTCCATGAGTGTGACTGGTTTTGAGTGGACTCCAGCTGTACAGCTGCTCCGGAGAGCATTTGGGTGGTGGATGGCAGGGGCTGGGGAAGGCAGAGAAGCCGGTCCGCAGTGCTGGGGGATGTCCCACCTGGCGCTAGTTCCCACTCAGTTCTTGGGATGGGGGAAGATGCGTGTCTGTAGGTGACAGGCTGCTTACCTCCCACGTTGATCTTCTCCCCTCTGACCCAGGGCACCAAACTCAGCAAGGTCACAATATGTGAGAAATACACAACATTGGGAGGATCTATGCTTTATTCTCAAACATTGGCTTGGTGGATCACCCCCTTGGGACTCATGGAAAGCAACACTTCACAGTCAACCTGGCCACGGACCTGTTCTTTCTCCTAGGAAACCACCGAGCGTCACACTTTGTCATGAACAATGAACACAGTTGCCTTTGTTTTATTTTTTTAATTGTATTCATTTATTTTGAGACAGAGTCTTGCTCTGTTGCCCGGGCTGGAGTCCAGTGGCACCATTTCGACTCACTGCAACCTCTGTCTCCCGGGTTCAAGCAATTCACATGCCTCAGCTTCCCAGGTAGCTGGGACTACAGGCGCTCACTACCACACCCAGCTAATTTTTTGTATTTTGGTAGAGACAGGGTTTCACTGTGTTGGCCAGGCTGTTCTCAAACTCCTCGTCTCAGGTGATCCACTTGCCTTGGCCTCCCAAAGTGCTGGGATTACAGGCGTGAGCCACAGCACCCAGCCTGCCTTTGTTTTTAAATGTGATGTAGATGGTGATGGACATATACAAATATAGAAGAACATGTTAGTATTCTGATGGCTTGGAATCTGCATACATGAATTTGCAGCAAGGAGATGTCCACAGGGGTCCCAGTAATCAAATACCTTCTGCCGGGAAGGGCATGAGCTTTAAGGCAGCCTTCAGCTCTAATGCCAGCTCTCCCTCCTAGCAGTGGCATCTTGGGTGCTAAAGTAGCCACTCAGGGCAACAGTTCCTTTATCTTAAAATAAGGACAATGAAATCTACCTTATTGCATTGTTATTAAAACTAAGTAAAATAATACACTGACCAGCACCCAGACAGAATAGGTCCACACGGTGGGCACTGAACTCTTGATAGTTTCTCTTCTGCCAACCACCCTTAATGAACTGTCGAATATTATTTGAAAGGTAAGGTTCGCCAGACAGGGTGGCTCACACCTGTAATCCCAGCACTACAGGAGGCCAAGGCAGGAGGATCACTTAAGTCCAGGAGTTTGAGACCAGCCTGGCCAACATGGTGAAACCCCCTCTCGATAAAAATAAATAAATACAGAAATACAGAAATTAGCTCAGGAGATCGAGGCTGCAGTGCCCTGTGAATATGCCACTGCACTCCAACCTGGGCAACAGAGTCAGACACTGTCTCAAAAAAAAAAAAAAAAAAAGAAAGAAAGAAGAGAAAAGAAAGGTGAGCTTCTCTGCATGCAAAATGTTCCTTGACCCATGGGACTCATATGATGGGACAGGGATGACTCCTGTCTGCACCCAGGAGTCATCCCCATCATCCTGTGATCTGATGAAAATTCATCCCGATGTTCCATTATACCCTGGGCTCCTTATCTCCCCCAGTTATTTCCTCATAAGTCCCCACTCTACTTTTCTCACATTCTCAAGTGCTTTGTACAAAATGGAGTAGGAGCCAGGTATTTGAATTTTATCAATGAAAGATTCCAGGCAAATGTGACAGAGATAACATGCAGAAAACTCTTGCAAATCCATAAGAAAACCACTAATACCTAATAGAAAAATAGGGAGGGAGGCTGGGCACAGTGGCTCACGCCTGTCATCCCAACACTTTGGGAGGCCGAGGTGGGCAAATCACCTGAGGTCAGGAATTCGAGACCAGCCTGGCCAACATAGTGAAACCCCATCTCTACAGAAAATACAAAAATTAGCTGGGCGTGGTGACACATGCCTGTAATCCCAGTTACTCGGGAGGCTGAGGCAGGAGAATCACTTGAACCGGAGAGGTGGGGGTTGCAGGGAGCCCAGATTGTGCCACAGCACTCCAGCCTGAGCGACACAGTGAGACTTCATCTCAAAAAAAAAAAAAAAAAAAAAAAGCCGGGCACGGTGGCTCAAGCCTGTAATCCCAGCACTTTGGGAGGCCAAGGCGGGTGGATCACGAGGTCGAGAGATGGAGACCATCCTGGTCAACATGGTGAAACCCCGTCTCTACTAAAAATACAAAAAACTAGCTGGGCGTGGTGGCGCGTGCCTGTAATCCCAGCTACTCAGGAGGCTGAGGCAGGAGAATTGCCTGAGCCCAGGAGGCGGAGGTTGCGGTGAGCCGAGATCGCGCCATTGCACTCCAGCCTGGGTAACAAGAGCGAAATTCCGTCTCAAAAAAAAAAAAAAAAAATAGTTTCACTGTTTTATTCACAGATGAAATACACGTGGCTAATAAACATTTTTTAAAAGTTCATCTGGAAACAGTATAGGTCATATTTTTTAAAAAGTTCAACCTCAGAAGGTAATAAATGTAAACCTACATGACATAAATTTGGCCTACCAATATGACTAAGGTTTTTAAAATGATACTAGTAGTGAAACTAACAACAAACATTCCTGGGCTCTGCTGTGTCTATGCTGCTGATGTGGATTGCCAGTGACAGCTACAAGAGAGACGCTTTCATAGCCTTCTACCTGTTGGGTCATTTGGTAAAAATTCTCTGGAAAGGAAGTTGGCAACATGTGTCAAAGCCTCTTGCAAGTTCATACCTTTTGACCTAGCAATTTCACTCCCATGGATCTAGTCTAAGTAAAGAAGATAGATAGTCAAAGATGGATGAGCAAGGATATTTATCACATTATAATCGCCGCCAGGTAAACCTCAAAGCAACCTATATATCCAACAATAGGGTTAACAAATTATAATATGTACTTTTATACTATAATTAATATCATGTTCTTAAAGAATAACTAGGCCGGGCACGGTGGCTTACGCCTGTAATCCCAGCACTTTGGGAGGCTGAGGTGGGGGATCAGGAGGTCAGCAGATTGAGACCATCCTGGCTAACATGGTGAAACTCTGCCTCTACTAAAAATATTTTTAAAAAAGATAGTCGGGTGTGGTGGCACGTGCCTGTAGTCCCAGCTACTCGGGAGGCTGAGGCGGGAAGATCACTTGAACTCGGGAGGCAGAGGTTGCAGTGAGCCGAGATCGCACCACTACACTCCAGCCTGGGCGACAGAGCAAGACTCCATCTCAATCAATCAATCAATCAATAAAGGCCTGGCATAATGCTCATAATAAAATATTTAAAGAAGAAAGCAAGACATAAAATTGTATGTACACAAATATTTCTAGATAAGAGAGCCCTGGGTTATAAATTCAGATGGCTTAAGGGAGCAGATGGATATAGCAGAAGCGATTCATGGCGGGTTATGGAGCCTGTGGTAAGCTACAGTACACATGTTCCACCTAAAGGCAGTAAATTAATTGTTCAAGAACTGAGCCATGCAGACATAGTGTGGCTCATGCCTATCATCCCAGCTTGGGAGGCCAAGGTGGGAGGATTGCTTGAAGCCAGAAGTTCAAGACCAGCCTGGGCAACAAAGTGAGACCCCCATCTCTAGAAAAAAAATTTAGATTAGCCAGGTGTGGTGGCATGCACCTGTAGTCCCAGCTGAGGCAGGAGGATTGTTTGAGCCTAGGACTGCACTCCAGCGTGGGTAACAGAGCAAGACCCTGTCTCAAAAGAAGAAAGAAAGAGGAAAGGAGGGAGGGAGGGAAGGAAGGAAAGAAGAAAGGAAGGAAGGAAGGCAGGCGGGAGGGAAGGAGGGAAAGAGGAAAGGAGCGGGGGAGAGGGAGGGAAGGAGGAAGGAAAGGAAGGAGGGAGGGAGGGAGGGAAAACAGTGCTGAGCCAAAGCACAACTGCAAGATGAAAGCAGCCCTGGGGTCTTGAGCAGGCAGCCCACCCCTGAGTTCCAGAACAATAGCAATGATCATCTGAGTTTGGGATTATGGGGGATTTTTATTTTCTTCTTCATCCTCTTCTGTAGTTTCCAAATTTTCTCTGATATTCATAAACCACTTTTATAACCAGAAGGAAAAAAATTAAACGTATATGGCTGTTGGAATGTAGGAAACTATTGGTCAAGCACACCAAGAAGTCGAGACCAAAGGCATAGTCTTAGGGCAGACAGATGGTTGCTCTGGTTCATTCCGCTGCCCTAGAACTCCTGGAGATGGCAGGCACTTCACTCACAGCTGGAGCCCCGGGCCTCAGAGAAGCATTTGCAGCATCTGCAGGGCCTGGTCTATGAATAGCACATCCCTGGCATACCAATGTGCCTGTCTATTCCCAGCCCTAGAGCTCCTGAAATCTGCTCTCTATTTGATAGACATAAAAAAAAAAAAATAGGGTTAAAATAGCATAAATCAAGAATGGCACAGTCTGCCACCTTTAGGGGAAACACACACATACAGGCGCTTGCGCACGCACGCACACACACACACACACACACACGCACTGCAGAGAAGCTCTGACTGAATTTTTAAAGAGGAAGACCATTGTGGTGACAAGGCAAGGGTGAGGACCCACCACAGGAGCCACAGGAGCCACAGGAGCCACAGCACAGCACATATCCTGGGACTTCTCCTGCCCCCCAGGCCAGCATCACCTGGGGACAACCCGGTGGCCTCTGTGAGATGAGCTCATGGCTCCCGTTGAGCTTCCAGTTCCTGTTCTTCAGAGTGGCCCTTGCTGATTCTTTTGCCCATTGGATGTTTCCCCTCCAGGGGATGGGTCACAAGCGTTCAGGGAGTGACAGAAAGCTTCAGGTTCCAGCGGTGCGAGCTCACCTCCGAGGCCCTCCATCAAATTCAAAACAAAAAGTCATCTGCCAGAGCCGACACGGCCGCCTCCTCTAGATCTCTTTTCTATGTCGTTGATTTATGTATGTATGTATTTATTTAATTTTTTTTGAGACGGCATCTGGCTCTGTTGCCCAGGCTGGAGTGAAATGGTGAGATTTTGGCTCACTGCAACCTCTGCCTCCCGGGTTCAAGTGATCCTCAAGCCTCAGCCTCCCAAATAGCTGGGATTACAGGTACACACCGCCGCACCCGGCTAATTTTTGTATTTTTAACAGAGACAGGGTTTTGCCATGTTGGCCAGGCTGATCTCAAACCCCTGATCTCAAGTGATCTGACCACCTCGGCCTCCCAAAGTGCTGGGATTACAGGCTTGAGCCACCGTGCCCAGTCCCTTTTCCTATTTTAAAAAATTATCAGAATCCAGTTGCTTATGTAGAAGCATTTGTTCCCCAAAATGGGGGTTGGCCCAGTCACCACGAGCTCCACTGCCGTACTTCCACAGCCAGACACTCAAAGCATCCTTGAATTGCTGCTGCCTCTCTTACTGGGGTTTATAAAACCCAGGAGGGGCCTGATAGGAGAGCTTAACTGATTTCTAGAAGAGCTGATGAGTAAAGATTCGTACTGTGTTTCTGAGTGTCCCATGCAGTTAACAATAAAAGAAGCTGCTGGAGTGTTAGGACATTAGAGACTCTCACTGGTGCCTCCCTGTGAGGAGCCCCAATTAAAGAGAGCCAGCACTGACTTGGCCCTTGGCAGAGCCCCATGCTCTGAGGATTTGCATTTCACCAGCCCGAGCTGTTATCAACACAGACCTTCCAGGGCCCGTGGAGTCCCGTCCACTCTACAGGGTGAACCGCTTTAGAAATGGAAAGATAAAAAGAGCAGCATCTCATCAGATCCCACACAATAGCAGCGTGGAGAACAAAGCTGGGGGAGGCCAATGTCAGGAGGGAACAAAGGGACGTGGCATCAGGGAAGTCCTGTCAGTTTCCTTCTCACATCGAGAGGGTAAAAGACCCTCAACAGCACACACACACCGTGACAAATTCAATGGCTTTTCGTTTTCGCAAGGAAATTGGAAGGCCAGCCAGTTTCTCAAGGGCTAGCACAGGGCAGTGGTTAAGAACACAAACCCTAGTATCAAGCAGGCGTGGATTCAAATGTTCACTCCATCACTTACTGGAAATAGGATCTTGGGTGAGTTATGTGACTGTCCTAGGCCTTGGTACCCTCAGTTATAATGTTGTATGATTGTGGTGCCTATTTCACAGGGTTATGAGGCTTAAGAGAGAGAGAGAGAGAGAGAGAGAGTGTGTGTGTGTGTGTGTGCATGTGAGAGAGAGAGAGAGAAAGAGAGAGAGAGAGATACAGTTAGCATGTCTCTGGCTGGTTCAGTGATTCTCTGTAGGAATTCATAGTAAGGATTCTATGGTAGCCAGAAGTTACAAAATTGACCTGGGGCTAGTGACAAAGAGAAGATAATGATTTCATGAGAGATTTGTGATTTTTATTTTCACTAAATAGTAAACGTGACCAAAATCCTCAGTGTGCCAGGGTGCCGGCTCCTAGAGCCTTCCTCCTGATCTGCCAAGATACACCATTCTCCTCTTTGGTTCTTGTAAAGCTGTGTGGGAAGCAGGTGTCATAAATGTATGTTGAATGAATTTGGATGAGAAGGGACTGGTTTTTGTAGAAGTCATTCCCAGAGGGCTGGTTTCCCCTTTCAGTACGTATGGAACAAAAACCAGTATCTAGTGCAAGGTTTGCCCATCATCAGTCCTGACTGGCTGGGCCTGGGCCAGTCTTCCAGGAGCTTCTGCAGGAAGGATCTGTATCCTCAGCGTCACCCCATTTCCCTAGGACCACAGGTGTCCAAAGGAACACGAGGGGCAGTAAAATGAAGCCTGCTGGCCTCGGCTCCTCTTATACCTCCAGCCATTTTGACCATGCCTATCTTCTTCTCTAGGTCTTGTTTGTTGCTTTTATTGATTGATTGATTGATGATTGATTGATTGATTGAGATGGAGTCTCACTCTGTCACCTAGATGGGAGGGCAGTGGCATGATCTCAGCTCACTGCAACCTCTGCCTCCCGGGTTCAAGCGATTCTCCTGCCTCAGCCTTCCAAGTAGTTGTGACTACAGGCACATGCCACCACACCCGGCTAATTTTTCTGTATTTTTAGTAGAGATGGGGTTTCACCGTGTTAGCCAGGGTGGTCTCGATCTCCTGACCTTGTGATCCACCTGCCTCAGCCTCCCAAAGTGCTGGGATTACAGGCATGAGCCACCGCGCCCAGCCTGTTTGTTGCCTTTAAAGGGCAATTTTGCATTTGGTGCCAGAGGCCTTCCATCCATGGGCCCTTTTACTGGAATGATAAATGTGTCTTTTCTCAATGCAGATCAAGTAGTTCAACAAGAAGGCCTGATGTGTGACACTAAGCTGAAGAGGCCAACTCGAGGGAGAAGAAACTGGCTCCCATTCTCACAGCCAATGACGGAGAACCCCCCTGACAGAGCCAAGAAAGGAGACCTGAGTGCTCCTTCCCAGAGTGAGATGCATCCAGCTCTGCCCCAGGCCTGCCAAGGAACAAAGAGCTCTCTAGTATTGAGTGAGTCCTCGGGGCCACCACTCACACCCAGCACCACAGGAGGGCCAAGGACGGCATCACTGAGGTCCCAAGATGAGGATTTTTATTCCCTTTTATCATTGAACAGCAGAACAGAAAGCAATGACGCTGAAGAGGAAGCCGATGTTGAAGAACGTCTGTGGGTTGGTATGCACGCACCCCGTTCCCCTTCCAATCACAAAAGAAGTAGATTTGGGGGGACATCGACCCCTCAGGCCGAAAATAAACATTTTGAAGAAAATGCTGAAAATGGTCGTTCTCTAAGAAGAAGTGCGCCCGGGCAGGGCTCATTAAGAATAAGCAGTGCAACAAAGCCAGCGACAGAGCGACATTCTGTCAGACAAAGGTTGTCCCAAGACCCCGGGCTGCCTGATGGGGCATCTGCTAAAGAGGAGGACAGAGGTGGCAGTGAAAATGCAAAAAAGAGCCCCCTTTCGTGGGACCCCCAATCCGAACCCAGACAAGAGGATGGTCTCAATGCTGAAAATGCATGGAGTGACTGTATTTCTATGGAACATAGGCCTGGCACCCATGATTCTGAAAGAGACCGGCAAGACTATTTAAGCAGCTCTAGATGTTCTCTTGACTACTTTTGTTCTGGCAGACCAACATCTTCAGGATCGTCAATGAATTCATCTTATAACCCTCCTGTATCATTCATGCATTCTGCTCTGAGAGATGATAGTCCCGTAGACTTGTCAATGTCATCGACTTCAATTCACAGCTCAGACTCAGAGGGAAACTCAAGGTTTCATGTTTGCCGACCACTGTCTCCCATTAGAAATAGAAATGCACTTGCCAGTGCCGAAAATCACAATTATTTCCCAGTAAACAGTGTACACGAATTTGCTGTCAGGGGAAGAGCAGAAGATATTACTTTAACAAGCCAACCTCAGGGGGCTCTGTTATATACAGACCTCTTACTAAATCCACGGGGCCGTTTGTCCTTAGTAGATTCCTCCAACTATTCTCCATCAAGAATGAACTCAGAAGTCCATTTGCATATGTCTGGGTCATTGCAAGAAAATATACCATTTACTTTCTTTGCAGTGTCTGATTTCCCAAATCAAAATGATAGTGGGAACAGAATGGCAGCCTCTGGCTTCACAGATGAAAAGATCAGTAAGATAAAGGCAGACCCTGAGAAACTCAAGAAATTGCAAGAAAGGTGAGGACTTTTCATCATTATATATTTTTTCCATTTTCCTAAGGCCAAAATTAGCATTGCTTTCATTAGAGAGCCAGGGGAATTTTAAGTCATAAATGGGTCCTTCCTTGACATTTTAGTGGTTGCTTATTTTGAGAAAATTGTCTCTGTTTTGTTGCTCTTAAAACATAATGGATTTATAAAAAAAAAAAAAAAAAAAAAAAAAAAAAAGAGTTTGGTGTTCCTGATCAGTTTCTTTCACATTCCCCAAGTGTTTTTCCTTGAATACCACAACTTCAAGGTAAGTTTGCTGGGTATAAGGATTTCTGACTGTTCCATAGGGCTTGTTCTCTCCAGCAAGGAAGAACCAAGATTTCTTATGAAAAGGTTGCTCTCTCCCTAGAGAATGAACCATTCTTCACTTGAAGTTCACAGCTCTCCCTCATGAGACTTACCCCAAATCCAACCAATAGTTCTAGAATTTGAACCTTGCAACCAAAAGACCGTTCTCAGTTACCATAGTTACCTGAGTTCTCTGAAGGGCCATGCCGGGGTAACCGATGCTTCTATTTTATGTGCTCTTTTTCATGCATGAGAGAAAGAGAAATAAGATCTTTTTTTGAATTGCCCTTTTCTTTGATCTTTCCTTTTTTGTGAGATGATTTGGGGATATTTCACAGCTAGGAAATTTGATACTTTGTAAAGCCATCATTAAACACCATGTCAGGATTCTACCATTTCATTTATGATAGGTGTTTACCATGCTCTGATCTTGGCTTACTGATCTGGAAATTGATTCTTGGGATGTGAGCCCTCTTTGTGTATATTAGCATGACTCATTTGGGCCACGATTTAGAAATGTAAAAAGGAGAGGAACGTGGAACATAGGATGCATACATGTTCCTATTAATAAATATCATTTATCCGACTCCAGTAATGAGGTAACTTTCCAGTTAGCAGCACCTTTGCTTTTCCACATTAAGCTACCAGAAGACCGACCCACGGTTACGGGGCAAAAGACCTTACACCCACCAAGCCTCACCTCCCCGGAAACACAGCTTCAGACCTGCTTGTCAGAAGTCTAAGCTTCTACCATCCCAAAGTGATGCCCTTGAACTAAAAATAATTTCTTTGAAAATGTATTCACTTCCAGGCACGGTCTTGCATTAAACAGCTATTATTCGTGTACCTATTAATAGTTTATCCAGACACTCTCTTTTTTCTGTATGTAATAAACCTTATGCTTTTCTTATTATTTCAAATTTGTTCCTTTTGGGAAATATTAAAAATATAGACTTAAAAGAAAAATCACCTGTAACTCTATTATCTAAACAGTTAAAACTTTGTTTCTAGTCTTTTATATTTGTATATAAATGCAATTTTTAGTATCTGTTCATATTGTTTTATAATATGCCTTATTTTAATATTTAATCCTATTTCTCACTTATACTCTTTTAAAGTTTTCCCTCAGTTATTTTAATACACATAAATTAGCACATAACATATGTACACTCCAGAGAATTTTCAAAACACACACATCACACACAAACCCAGGCTTCCCTGTGCCCACCGTCCAGCTTACAGAATATTCTTCACACACTGGAGCCCTCCCGAGCCCCTAACCCACCCAATCTTCTCATCATCCCCCTTTCAGCTCCCCATACCCACCCTGACCATTCCTGTATTGCATTTATCATCTCTTTGCTTTTTGTTGTGTTGTGTTTTGGGGTTTCTTGATTTGAGATTTTACCATATGTTTATATGTTTGTTTGTTTGTTTGTTTCTTGAGACAGAATCTCACTGTGTCACCCAGGCTGGAATGCAGTGGCGTAATCACAACTCACTGCAGCCTGTGCCTCTGGGTTTAAGTGATTCTCATGCCTCAACCTCCCATGTAGCTGGGATTACAAGCACGCACCACCACGCCTAGCTAATTTTTGTATTTTTAGTAGAGACAGAGTTTCGCCATGTTGGCCAAGATAGTCTCGAACTCCTGACCTCAAGCGATCCACCTGCCTCAGCCTCCCAAAGTGCTGGATTACAGGCATGAGCCACCGTGCCCAGCCAGTGTTTCTAAACAATATGTTGTGTATACTTATGAACTCTGAGGAAGTGTTTGACTCTGTAGAAATAGAATCTCTATTCTTCTGCGATTACTTTTTCCCCTTACATCCTTAGTGAGATACATCCTTGTTGATATATTTGGCTTTAGTTTATTCTTTTCACACTACAAAGTATTCTGTCATATGGATATACCACAATTTAGCCATTCTGTCAATGGACATTCGGGTCCTGTATTGTTTTCTGCAAATGGTATTGCATGAACATTCTTGTAAATGTCTCCTTGCGCATGTGGAAGAGTTCTCTGGGATCTTCTCTAAGAGTGGAAGAGCCAGGCTGGTGGGCTGGTGGGCTGGTGGTGAACACATTTGTCACTGTACTAAGTGATGCCAATTCAGTTTTAAAGCAGTAATGTCTAACGTTATACATCCTTGACAACATTCGTTTTGACTGGCTTTTCAAATTTGCCAGTCTGATGGGAATAAAATGGTATTGTAGCTTTAGTTTGCATTTTCATGACTTAATGAAGTTAAGCATTTTACATGCTATTTTAAATGTTAAATGACCATTTGTGTTAAATGACCCATCTGTGAAATATTGATGTCCTTATTTTTTTTGTAGAGATGAGGTCTCACTATGTTGCCCAGGCTGGTCTCAAACTTTTAGCCTCCAGCAATTCTCCCACCTTAGCATCCCAAAGTGCTGGGATTACCAGCATGAGCCACTTTGCCTAGCCAAATATCTATGTCTTTTGCTCATTTTTCTTTTAGAGTATTTATATTTTATTTATTTTTTAATTCTTTTTGACAGGTGTGTGTTGGAAATCTCTTTTCCCAATTTGTAGTTTGTCTTTTTCTTTTTTTTTTGAGACAGAGTCTCCTCTGTCGCCAGGCACCAGACTGCAGCTCACTGCAACCTCCGCTTCCCAGGTTCAAGCAATTCTCCCGCCTCAGCCTCCTGAGTAGCCGGGATTACAGACACGCGCCACCACGCCCGGCTAATTTTTTATATTTTAGTAGAGACAGGGTTTCACTATGTTGGCCAGGATGGTCTCAATCTCTTGGTCTCATCATCTACCCACCTCGGCCTCCCAAAGTGCTTGGATTACAGGCATGAGCCACCACTCCCAGCTGTCTTTTTCTTTATGATGTCTTTTAATGAAAACAAATTCTTAATTTTAACATAATCAAATGTGTCCACCTTTTTTTTTTTTTTTTTTTTTTTTGGAGACTGAGTCTCGCTCTTTTGCCAAGGCTGGAGTGCAGTGGCACAACCTCAGCTCACTGTAACCTCCGCCTCCAGGGTTCAGGCAATTCCCCTGCCTCAGCCTCCTGAGTAGCTGGGATTACAGGCACGCACCACCACACCCAGCTAATTTTTGTATTTTTAGTAGAGACGGGGTTTCACCATGTTGGCCAGGTTGGTCTCAAACTCCTGACTCAAGTGATCAGCCCGCCTCGGCCTCCCAAAGTGCTGGGATTACAGGCGCGAGCCACCGCGCCTAACCCCATCTTCTTTTTGGATTGCAATTTGTATCTTGTTGCCTTATTTAAGAAATCCTTCTGTTAACCTGATATCATTAGTTATTCTTCCTATTTTCTTATAAAATCTCTAGTTTTATATTAGGACTTGATGTGAAATGGATTTGGACTTAAATGTGAAGGTGGTTCTTAATACATGATGTGAAGCAAGATTTATTTTTCCCCTTTAAGAATATGAAATATCTAATTGTTCGGGACATTTCCCTATTGATCCGCACAGCTGTGTCTCCTTCAGAACATGCCTCAACAGGCCTCAGTTCAGAACTCTCCGTTCTGTTCCACTGGTCTTCAGTTGTCTTCTCCTAATCTAATACCATTCTGTCTTAATGCCTGAAGCTTTCATAAGTTTTGATATGTGATGATGTAAGCCTCCTTCCCTACTGCTTTTAAAGAGTCCTTGACTGTATACTTAAGAATCTACTTGAGATTTTTATTGGAATAGCATTTAATCTATAAAATATTCTGGGAGAACTGACATCTTTGTGATATTGACTTTTTCTTTGATAAACATGGTATGCCTCTCCTTTTGTTTGTGTCATCTTTAATGCCTTTCAGTATAGTTTTGTGATTTTCTTCATAGCAGTTCTTTATTTAATTTATCCCTTGGTTCTTGTATGTGTTGTCATTTGCTATTGAAATAATATTTTAAATTCTAATTTTTTTTTTTAAATAGAGACGGGGTTTCACTATGTTGGCCAGGATGGTCTCGATCTCTTGACCTTGTGATCTGCCCACCTCGGCCTCCCAAAGTGCTGGGATTACAGGCGTGAGCCACTATGCCCGGCCTTAAATTCTAATTTTAACTCTTTGTTGCTAAGATGTATAAATCCAACTGACTATATATTTTCTCTGTATTTTTGCCAAAATACAAAATCATTTCAACTGTGAAAAATATTAATAGTTTGATTTCTTTCTTTCTAAACCTATACTTTTTAATCCTTTCTCATCTTACAGTTACATCAATTTTTTTTTTTTTTTTTTTTGAGACGGAGTTTCGCTCTTGTTACCCAGGCTGGAGTGCAATGGTGCGATCTCGACTCACCGCAACCTCCGCCTCCTGGGTTCAGGCAATTCTCCTGCCTCAGCCTCCTGAGTAGCTGGGATTACAGGCACGTGCCACCATGCCCAGCTAATTTTTTGTATTTTTAGTAGAGACGGGGTTTCACCATGTTGACCAGGATGGTCTCGATCTCTCGACCTCGTGATCCACCCGCCTCGGCCTCCCAAAGTGCTGGGATTACAAGCTTGAGCCACCGCGCCCGGCCTACATCAGTATTTTTGAAGACTGCTTATGTTAAATGTGTCTGTTATGATTTGATCAGTCTCCTTTTTGAGCACATTCATAACTAATTACTTAGAAAAACTTCCTAAATGTGTAACTGTTGATGAAAGGAATACAGAGTCTTAAGGTTCTTAATG